CCCCAGCCCAAAAACGTCAGGCCCAGTTGCAAAACCACCGAGGCATGTCACAAACCTACGCAGGCACCAGAGGTGTTTTTCAGATAATCAGTTAGGTGTAAACCAGGTCCCAAGGCATGCCTGAATAAGCAGGAACAAGAGGACCAGAGTGCAAACATGTAGATTTTATGTGGTTTTTCCAGTAACATAAAGTGAAAAACAACTTTGCCCTTTAGGTAGCCTATATGCTGGGTTTAAAATTAACTAATAAGAAACCTATTGCTTACCGTGGGCGAAAACTGTCCCTTTACCCTATAAATATCTCTGTATCCCCAAGCCCAGGGTGCCAGCTCACCAAAGCTCTGGCTGAGGTTCTGCTGGGCACCCACAGGCGCCTGTGTCTCAATAAACCACCTCATGCTTTTGCAGCCAGTGTTTTGTGTGATTCTCCTTGGACAGGGAAATGGGGGTCTTTCATTAGTAGTTGGGATTATAGCCACAGGTAACCCGAATCCATCATCTCCTATTCTTATACATATCCAAGAGCTCATGAATTTCAGTTCTTAACTTCTTTGAATCTCAGTCCTTATCTGTACATTGAGGTGGATCAGAATTCTAATACATTCCCAGTTCTTGAAAAAAAAATTGAGTTCTACACATAGTAGGTCCTTAATAATTGGGTAAAACAATTCTTCGAAGTCTTACAAGAACCATGTCTTTCAAATGAGTACAAAGAAGACATATGTATATGTACTTCAAAATTTGGGATCCAAGTTTGGAGTTTTTCTGTAAAATACAAATACATACATTATTGGAATGAAAAACAAAAATCTCATTAATTTAAGATTAAAAATAAACTTTTTTGGAAAAAATTCTTATTTCTGGGTATGCTGCTTTGACTTCTGCCCCAGAAGTCAGGGTTTATTTCCCACCATCATTAGAAAAGGATGCAAGGTTTTGATTAAGAGGAAAGGCTCATCAGTTAACTCAAAACATTTGACAGTGTTATTCTTGCAGTAGCCAGGATATCTGAAGTTGTCTTGGCCCTGGAATGTAAACACACATTCCACTCATTTTACTCTTTCATTCCAGAACCTGCCAGAGGGTAAGGTTTGTTTGATGTTACTACTTCTTAAACCTGTTTCATCTTGTTTCTGCAATTGTGTCAAACTTCAGTTTTGCTTTTATGAAAACCAAAAGGCCAATGCCTTTACAAACATACTTACATGATATATGGACTACTGGGTACAGTTAATTTTTATTTCTTCAACCAATGAATTGCTTTCACAATTATAAAATCTACCTCAAGTGCCACATCACATACCACGGGCTTGCTTTAAGAAAAAAAAAAAGCTTTTAAGAGACACAGATTTCGAGGGTGAAAGGAATAAAAAAGTGAACTAAAGACAACCAGATTTTTCTATCACAGAAAGGCATGCACAAAACCTTAATTACGACATTTCAAAATCGAAATGGACTACAGAGCTCGGTTTTTCCTACAAAAATTATTCGTAGCAAGAAAAAGAGCTATTTTAAGCAAACTGTCAGGCCTTTAATTTTCTACGCTCTAAGTAGAAAATCTAAAAAAAAAATTCACTTTTACTTCCTAGATCCAGATTCCTTTCTCTCGTCTTCTTTTCAAGCATTAATTTAAAAATTTTAACTCGTTTGAAAGGCTGCTTTGAAATTCACAAGCCCAAATTGGCACGCGGTACAAAAGCAGGACACCATCACGGTCAAACAAACTCATTCCGCCGCGACGTCTTTGGTCTTCCTCGAGTAGGGACAAGAAAGCCACGAGCCTCCGAAACGCCCCGGGACTAGCTGTTCAAAAGGACCGGCACCCTCCGTTCAACTTTGCTCCAGGAGCTCTGGGGCACCTGGCGGAGGGCGTGGGGCGCAAGCGTTTGTCCCTTGGAGAGTATTTTGGGGACCCTCCCTCTAGGGCCTAAGGTGACTTTGCAAGCCA